TTGATTTCAAATTAGCCAGCTCTTTTTCTTCTGCCTGCAGCTGATGCTGTAAGGGATACTGGGTCTCCAGAGATTCCTGGAGTTGAGTGGCTGTCATTCATGCAGTCACCATTCAGGAAGAAAGTCCTGTCGTGTTCATGTTCCTGAGACATAACGTTTTTTTGCATTCTAATTGTTTTGTTCGCTCCAGTGACGAAACAGACTTTTTCCCCCAGACTGCTTTCCATCTGGTTGTTTTATAATCATAAACAAACTGCACTAGAAGTAATTGTTTTTTACAGCCAAAACTCTCATTTTTGATTCTGTTTTATGTAGGTTAGCATTTGAATGAAATTTTGTTCTGAGACAATTTCTGAATGAAATTGTGCACCAGTGGTGTACATTTATTACTTATAATGTGTGTTTGTGAATATACCTGCGTAGATCTGGGTATAAGTATATATCAATCCATCTATATATATATGCAGACATATACTACATAGTTACAAGGGAACTTCAAAAAGTTAATGGAAAATGAAATTAAAGGAAGTTGATTTTGATACAAAAAATTGAAAGCCATGTATCTTTTTCATAATATGAATTTTCTATGAAGTCAAAACTTTTTAATTTATTTTCATTTTATTTGAGAGAGAGAGAGAAACAAAGAGAGATCTTCCATGTGCTGGATCATTCCCCAAATGCACAAAACAGCCAGGACTGGGTCAAACTGAAGCCAGGAGTTCAGAATTCAATGTGAGTCTCCCATGTGGATGGCAGGGACCCCAATACTTGAGCTACCATCTGCTGCCCCTAAGGGATTGCATTAGCAGAAGATAGATTAGAAACAGAGAACCAGGTACTCCTGTATGGAATATGGTAATCCCAAGAGGCAACCTGATCTCTGTGTAAAACAGCTGCCCCTCCATGAAAAACCAAACATGAGGGGCCAGCATTACGGCATGGCAGATTAGGCTGATGCTTGTGGTGCCGGCATCCCATATGAGCACAGGTTTGAGTCCCAGCTGCTCCACTTTCTATTCGTCTCCCTGCTAATGTGCCTGGGAAAGTAGAGGAAGAAGGCCTAAGTACGTGGACTCCTGCTTCCACCTGGGTGACCCGGGAGAAGCTCCTAGCTCCTGGCTTCAGCCTGGCCCATCTCCAAGCCTTACAGCTATTTGGGGAGTAAACCGTCAGATAGAAGATTCTCTCTCTGTCTCTCTCCATACACACACACACACACACACACACAACTCTGCCTATCAAATAAATGAAATAAATCTTTAAAAATGCATGAATTTCAAAATTTTTTTGCACCAAAATAAACATTTTAATTCCATTTTTCATGAGCCTTTTGAAGTACCCTCGTATATGCATACCTAACCCTCTATCTTTTCTCCTTGACTATCCCTTTAGATTTGTTGTTGTTATTTCTGTATATCCCTGTAGACCACATAGATTTACGACTTGGCCTGAGACCACAGTTGAATGGGAAGAAGCTGACATCATGGGAAGAAGGGGTTTGTTTTGATGAATAGATCAGGAAGGAAGGCGTTGCGTAAGTGTGTCCTGGAGAGCTCGGTGAGTGTGTGTGCCTCTGAGATTGTGTGGAGCATGCGCTGGTTCCAGGAAAGTCAGGAAGGGAGGTACCCTCACAACGGCCTTTTTACCCTATGAACGGAGGCTCAGAGGATCTAGTGAATGATCTAGAAGGCCAAGGACCTCCCTGCTGAGCCTGGCTTGGGACGGGCCTCCATAGTAGTCCCAGGAGATAACTCACCTTACCTCAGCTCTTGAAAATCATTCTTGTCTCCATGTGTGAAGTAGAGAGGACAGAGGGAAGATTAGCCTGCAGGCTTCTTTCTGTTCCCTCTGAATGTGCCCACACTGTCGGAGAGCTGCGTTTCAGGGCAGAATGTCTAGGGTCTGTCCTGTGTCTGTCCATCAGCAGCCCTGCTTGGGAAACACATAAGCATGAGTTCCCTTCTGCACTCCCGGTGGCCGGATGTTGCGCGGTCTGCCGCCCCGTTCACCCCCTGCTGCACACTGGGCCTCCTGGAATCCCAAGCACTTCTGCTGTCTTAGAAACTTTGCATCTCAGGTTCCTAGGTAAGGGCCCAGTTAAGTGGAAAGTTGTGGCAAGCTGGACCCTGAGTGGGTTGGGGAGGCAATTCTGGGTTATGTTTTAGCTGCTGAGATATCATGGAGGCAAGAACAGCAGGGGAGTGCAGGAGATGGTGAAGGAACAGGAGAAAGAAAACTTCTCTCCCACCCTCCCTCTGCTCAACAAACAGAGCCATCTGAAAGACCATCAATCTTCAGGGAAACACATGTTCTACCCTTAAAGTTGTTTTGAACCTGGATGCTATTTTAGTAGTCACTAGAAAAAAGAATGGTAAGGAACAGTTTGCTCCCAAGTGCGCCCCATCAAGCTGTCCTTAATGTACAAGATTCTGGGTCCCTGACTCCTACCTGTATCAGAACACAACTTTAAGTATCCTCTCTGCAAATCTTCAACTTTCTCATCCTTCTTGGCTCCCTCTCTCACATCTGGCCCACACTTAACATTCAACAGTACGTATAAGACACCCTTGGCCAAGGAAAAAGAAATATTATATTTGTTTTTTTTTAAGATTTTATTTATTTATTTGAAAGTCAGAGTTACACAGAGAAAGAAGGAGAGGCATAGAGAGAGAGGCCTTCCATCCACTGGTTTACTCTCCTGTTGGCCACAGGGATCGGAGCCGAGCTGATCCGAAGCCAGGAGCCAGGAGCTTCTTCCAGTCTCCCACACAGGTGCAGGGGCCCAAGGACTTGGGCCATCTTCCACTGCTTTCCCAGGTCATAGCAGAGAGCTGGATTGAAGTGGAGCAGCTGGGACCTGAACCGGCGCCCATATGGGATGCTGGCACTGCAGGTGGCAGCTTTACCCGCCATGCCACAACACCAGCCCCAAAATACTCTATTCGAACTTGTGTTTTCTCTATCAAGTGTACCATAGCTACTTCCTTTTTACGCATCTCAAAAGAATAGTTTACTCCCACCATTTCTACCCCTTCACCTCCCAGCTCAACTTGTGACAATCTGTCTGCTGAGCTTATCACACTTGGGACTCCTCTCATTGTTCACCAGAGACATTCCATTTCCAATCCAATGCTCCCCATTCGTTCTCCATCTGGACTTCTTTGCTGGAGTGATCCAGGGTGTAAATCAAATCTGGACAGATTTTTGTTTGTTCATTGCTGTACCCGCAGTATGTGGAACACTGCCTTATATAGAATAAGTGCTCTATATGTATTTGTTGAATGGACGAGCTGATGACTTCTGTTCCAGAATTCACTGAAGAATCCACTTGTGGGCTTCAGCGACTTGCACTCTCCTAGTTCTCCTCTCTGATCGTCCTCCTTGGCCTCCTTCATACTCCTCTTTTTTTCTCATCACTGTGTTCTGCCATCCCTGCCATCCCTAGGGGTTCTCTCTCTCTCTCTCTCTCTCTCTCTCTCACACACACACACACACACATATCAACTTCACACTTTAGCTACTCCATTATGCTAAGGACTCCCAAATTTGATCTTCTACTATGGCCTCTCCTCTGAATTTCAGTTTAAATATCCAAATATCTGCTGATCATTCTTCCTTGGTGTTAACATTTCTAACATAATCCTCAGTTGTATAACAGATCTGCTCTTCCTCCTGACTGGTCATCCTCCTGGTCACTAAGCCTGCAGGGTTTCTAAACGTGAGCCCCTGCTTGTATGCAGCCATCCAGAAGCTTGGGTCTGCTTCAGATTCTTGGTTTCACAGGGATTTCAAGTCTTCTGTGGGGAGGACTCGTCAAGGAGGAAGGGGTGGGAACATCAAGCTGGCCTGGAAATGCCAACTCTGGGAACCCTGATGATCACCTTTGACTCTTTTTTCTCTCTCACTGTATGTCTTCAACTTATCCAACTTGCCTCTTAAACGTTTTCAAAATGTGTCTCCTTCTCCTGCCTGTTTGCCCTCAGATCTACCCCTTGCCTTTTCTCCTTTCCCCTCTGCATTGCAGAGAAGTCATATTTCCATTATCAGCAATGTCCAGATAGAATGGGCAATGGGAAACCCTGCTGGGAGACTGATGGGTGTGAGCAGGGGAGAAGCCAGGACATTTCTTTCTCCTGCTCTGCCTCCGACAGCATGTCCCCCATGACAGCTCTTCCCTGCTCATGCCAGGCAGCCCACCCACAGTTCTCGTCCATAACAGTCAGATGAGCTTCTGGCTAACTCCGCCTCTTCCCCTTGCCCTTCCAGCCTGGAGGTAGCAATGCTGCTGCTTTTGCCAAGCTCCAGATTGCGTATTGCCCCCTCCTTGGCTTTTCATCAAGTTCATCACTAAGTAATCAATTGGCCATATTGATTTTTCCCTGTTTTTTTTTTTCTCTTCCGTTTTTCTGAGTGGGTCCTAATAAGCAATTTCAAGCATACCATTGTCCTCCCAACTCAGTTAGGTCCTGAGCAGCCCTCACCTGTACTTTTGTCCTACCTTATCCTCCTGCTTCCAAGCCTTGCTCCCTTAATTCTACCTTCATCACAACCACTATAGTGATGTGCCTGCAGCACACATCTGATCTTGTCACTGCAATGCTTAAAACTCTTCCATGATTCTATGTAGAATCAAGAAAAATTCTTGATCTTCACTGTCCGATAGGATATCCACTATCCACATGACGACTGAGCATGTGCGATGTGGCCCATCAGAGTAGAGAGGTACTGTAATTGTAAATCTCTCAGGATTTTCATGGGGCACAGATAACTCTTTCATATGCTGATTTCATTTCCCTTGGGTAAATTCCAGATGGCTGGGTTACATGATATATTACATCATTTTTAATAAGGATTACACATTGAATGGATAAAATTATGGACAGATTGTGGTATAATAAAATATGTTAGTAAAATTAATTTTTATTTTATTTTTGCTTTTTTTAATGTTGCTATTACAAAACTTAAAAACTCATGTGTGGTTCACATTCCATTTCTTTCAGGCAGTGCTGCTCTGGATGCCGTAAAACAGCAGTTAAGGCACCAGATCTCACTCCCATTTCCTTCTCGAGCTTCAGTGCTTCCTATCAGTGAGTACTAATGAGTGTTTCATTTTAGGCTCCATAAATACAGTCAGGTGGGTACGTGGTGGTCCCATTCCCCAAGCCCTGAACCCCCAAATCAAATAGTGTCACACTCCAGCCACCAGAGGTCATGCCCTTTTCCATCTGCAGCCTTTTCCCACCAGGAAGAGAAGGTTCCAGGACAAACAACTTGGAGAGCTCATTTAGAAGGTGAAAATGATGAGCGTTATACAGTCTTGCACCCTTCTCAAGGGTCTTTGTGGAATATCTTCTTAGCCTTTCATTCTTCCTTAAGGTTGTTGTTGATTCTCTTGAATCAACTACTCACCTTGGGGCTGGTGGAGTGTGAGAAACCAGATCCTTGCTCTGCTTCCCTTCACTTAGGGTAGGGCCACGAGCACAAAACACGATCCTGCTCAGTTCATCTTCATAGAACACTCAGCAGTGGTCCCTGCTGCCAGTAAAGTGGCTTTGTCCAGAGTGTGTCCTGAGCTCACTTGGGGCCTGCAGTGGAAGTCAAATCAAGGGTGGGATTCTGGACCTTGGATACCTTGATCTTAATGACACAAAGGCACAACCAACACACGCGGCTGCATCTGGGCTCAGTCTTTCTTTATTTGTCCTCTGCCTCTATCTCTTACTCTTCTTCCTCCTGTTAACTTCATTTGTGTTTTTTTTTTTTTTTTTTTTTTTTTTTTTTTTGGACAGGCAGAGTGGACAGTGAGAGAGAGAGAGAGAGAGACAGAAAGGTCTTCCTTTTGCCGTTGGTTCACCTTCCAATGGCTGCCACGGCCGGCCGGCACACCACGCTGATCTGAAGGCAGGAGCCAGGTGCTTCTCCTGGTCTCCCATAGGGTGCAGGGCCCAAGGACCTGGGCCATCCTCCACTGCACTCCCTGGCCACAGCAGAGAGTTGGCCTGGAAGAGGGGCAACCAGGACAGAATCTGGCGCCCCGACAGGGACTAGAACCCGGTGTGCCGGCGCTGCAAGGTGGAGGATTAGCCTGTTGAGCCGCGGCGCCGGCCATTTGTTATTATTTTTTAAATATGTATTTACTCATTTGAAAGAGTCAGAGAGAAGGAGACAGAGAGAGAGAGAGAGAGAGAGAGGGAATCTTTCATCTGCTGGTTCACTCCCCAGATGGACGGAACAGCCGGCACTGGGCCAGGCTGAAGCAGGAGCCACGAACTCAATCCAGGTTTCCTATGTGAATGGCAAGGACTCAATTACCTAAGCCATCACCTGCTGCCTCCTGGGGTGTGAATAGCAGGAAGCTGAAATTGGGAGTGAAACTAATGCTCAAACCCAGGCACTCTGATCTGAAATGTGGGTGTCCTATGTGGCATATCAGCCACTATACCAAATATCTGATCCTCCCCTCCCAATTTATTTTTTGTAATTGCAACTTTTAAAAATGGCCCTTGGGGCTGGTGCTATGGTATAGTAGGTGAAGTGCCTGCCTGCAGTGATTGTTTCCATACAGGTACCATTTCATGTCCCGGCTGCTCCTCTTCTCATCCAGCTCAGTGCTGATGTCCTGGGAAAGCAGTGGAAGATGGCCCAAGTGCTTGGGCCCCTGCACCCATGTGGGAAACCCAAAGAAATCTCCTGGCTCCTGGTTTCGGATCGACCTAGCTCTAGCCATTGTGGCCATTTGAGGAGTGAACCAACAGATGAAAGACCTCTCTCTATGTCTGTAACTCTGCCTCTCAAATAAATAAATAAATCTTTTTTTTTTTAATTTATTTGACAGAGTTCGACGAGAGAGAGAGAGAGAGAGTGAGAGAGAAAGGTCTTCCTTTCATTGGTTCACCCCCCAAATGGCCACCATGGTTGGAGCTACGCCCATCTGAAGCCCGGAGCCAGGTGCTTCCTCCTGGTCTCCTATGTGGGTGCAGGGGCCCAAGCACTTGGGCCATCCTCCACTGCATTCCCGGGCCACAGCAGAAAGCTGGACTGGAAGAGGAGCAACCGGGACTAGAACCCGGCACCCATATGGGATGCCAGCGCCTCAGGCAGAGGATTAACCAAGTGAGCCACCGTACCTAAATAAATCTTTTTAAAAATGGCCCTTATTTGCAAAGAAGTCAAGGAAATTATATTCACAAAGTGATTGTGCCATTCTTTTATTCTGGATTATTTTCTGGTTTCATGTGAAGCAAACTCTATTTCTTATGTCTAGAGTGCGCTTCCTTCTATAATTGTCTAAATTCTACTCATCTTTCAAGACCTAGCACGTGTATTTCTCCCCTAGGAGGTAATACTCAGGAGGGCAGGGGTTTCTGTCAGCGTTTTGTTTCGGGCTCTCTCAGCATTACTTAGAAGAGTTTCTAACACTAGGAGGTGCTCTACTGATACATATTGAATAAGAGAAAGAAGGAAGGAAGGAAGGAATGAACTCACAGATCACATTCCTCACTCCCTCCTCCTAACTTCCACAGAATTCAGACTCACATGCAGATCTGTGTCTATAATACTTAACTCTAAACATCTACATTTTAATGTAGTCATTTTGTTATCACCAAATATTTATAGCTATCCTCCCAGCATATGGTACAATGACACTTTCCCATTCCTTTAAAGTGAGGTGTGGACATGAACTTACTTTAAATAACGACCTATGAGCAGAAATGACAAGGGTAACATCTAGGAGGAAGTTCTAGGAACTGCTGGGTGGTTCATCGTTTTCCTTTTCTTCTGCCTCATTGGTTGTAGACGCAAGTGTCGATAGGTAGCTCCCTGCTCCATTCCCCACGCCAGCCTATGACACTCTTGTAGTAGCAGTGAGAAGTAAGTTTTGCCAGATTCTCTGAACTATGTGGGCTATATATTTCTTAAGCGTAGTTTAGCTGTTGCTGATTTGTATACACATTGTGCTTATGTTTATCTGATATTTCATCTTCTCTTTCTAACTGGACTGTGCAAGCCCTTTGAAATAAGTACCTATATTATAAAGTCCTTTGATTCTCCCTTTTTCCAGTCTAGTTCCTTAAATATTGCAGAGAGTTCATAAATTTTTAAAGACAGTGGGTGTAGGTAGTGATGGTGATGATGAAAATGACAATTATATTAACATAAAGTCATTATCAGGTGATTCTTTTGAAACAACAAATTTGGGTTTTATTTTTTAAAAAATGCCCATTTAGAAACAGGCTGAAGTTTGCCGTGATTTTGAACTTATAAAATATATCCATTTGGGGGTCTGGCACAGCCCTGGCTGTTGTGTCCACTTGGGGAGTAAACAAGTGGATGGAAGCCCTCTCTCTCTCTCTCTCTCTCTTTCTCCCTCTCTCCCTCCCTCCTTTTCTCCATCCCTCCCTTTCTATCTCTTTGTCTCTCTCTCTCTCTGTAACTCTGTCTTTCAAATAAATGAAATAAATCTTTCAATATATATGTATACATATACATATGTATATTTTTATCATATTTCATATGTACCCTCAGAAACCTGTTTGAACAGACACTTTTTAAAAAAAGACTTATTTACTTATTTGAGAGGCAGAGGCACAGAGAGAAAGAGAGAAAGAGAGTTCTTCCCTTTGCTGGTTCACTCCCCAAATGGCCCCAATGGCTAGAGCTGGGCCAATCCAAAGACAGGAGCCAGGAGTCCCCCATGTGGGTACAAGAACCCAAGGATTTGGGTCATCTTTCACTGCTTTCCCAGGCACATTAGCAGTGAGCCGGATTGGAAGTGGAGCAGACAGAACTCGAACAGGTACCCATATGGGATGCTGGCACTGCAGGTGGTGACTTTACCCACTATGTCACAGCGCTGGCCCTAGAACAGAAACTTTTAAAAACAATATTAATCCTAGTCATCTTGATTTTCATGTTAAATTTGACAAAGATATAAATCATCACTGGCAATCATGATTGGGAAGGCACCTCTTGCTTTACATCTGTTTTAATCTTGCTTTAAATCTGTCACTCCTCTGGCTTAAAACATATTTCCTTCTTTGTCTTTCTTTACAATGCCTAGTGTAGTGCTGGATACTTTGCAATCTCTAGGTTGACTTCAAGGCTGTCCCTGTTTAAGTTTCAATGACTGCATATTTAGGAAACATCCTTTTAGATAAAGAAAGAACAATGCTATCCCTAAAGTTTGGCTTTGTGTGATGCTAGATGGCTTGAAACTGCCATGGGTAATTTTTCTCCTGGAAGCTAAGAAGGATTTCTACATCAAGTCACTTGTGTAGTCTTGAATGGAGATTATGGTAACATTTGCATATTTTTCTATAAGAATAAGTGGTCTCAAATCTAATTTGTAACTGGACTTTGAGAATTAAGACAACCTTATTGGGCCTACTTTCTCAAGATTATTTAATCTTAGAAATTTGCACCTCAGGATTGTATGGTTTAAGAGTGAAGTGGAGAAGAGTGTTAGCTCTTCCCAGCACAAACTGTCATTTCCCCCTCACCTCCAAGCACTGCAAGTCTTTCTTGCCGACTGCTCTATTTTCACTTTTTCAATTATTAGCAATAATTGTGCCTTGAATAAATCTCATTGGCTACAATACTGCCACGGCCCATTGTTTATTTCTACTCTCCTTGTGGTTCCAGACTTGAAATTTCCCCTCCCTCTTGACCTTGACCACCCTCCTGTCCTTCTCCAGTTACTGTGCATATCTTGAATGATAATTCCATACCAGTGCTCTCGTTTTCCTTTCCCTGAGAGCATTTGAAAAAGAAGATACTTGAGGTGTGCACTTGACGATCACTATCTTTTGCTGACACTGAATATCTCCCTCCAAAGGACCAGTGGTCAGAATCAAGACAGGAAGACATGGCGATGGTCAGGGAGAGGGGAGATGAAAGGCTGAGCTCATTCTGTAGTCTGAATGGTGGAGGCTGAGATAAAATTAATTGCAATCATGCAAAGAGGTGGTCATATGGGGTTCATGAACAATGAAAATATGTTTCACTCCCTCCCAGCCTCTAGATCTCCACTTAGGATTTTCTAATCCATGTCAATCCCCTTTCCGTTATATTCCTCATCCTCCATTCT